CTTTCGCAGACAGGATGTGACTGATCAAATTACTACATGTCAGGGCCTTTTGCAGATAAGATCTGGTCGACAAAATTACTGCTGACCTGTGGTTGTGCTTGCTTCTGCAGCTCCAGCAGCAGAAACCTCTGTGGTTTTCTCATCCGAGGCTGCTACTTCCTCAGTTACCACAGCAGACTCGCTACTTGCAGTTGCAGGAACCTCCGGCACTGATTCTTCTGGCTCCTCGGCCTTATCAAGAGGAGTGATTTCCTCGACAGCGCCAGTGACAGCTTCTGTTGAAGAGCTCTCCTCCTCTTTGCTTTCAACTTCAGTAGCAGAAACTGTAGGAGGCTCAACAGCGCCAGTGACAGCTTCTGTTGAAGCGCTGTCCTCCTCTTTGCTTTCAACTTCAGTAGCAGAAACTGTAGCAGGCTCAACGGTGCCACCAGTGACAGCTTCTGTTGAAGAACTATCCTCTTTGCTTTCAACTTCAGTAGGAGGCTCAACGAGCTTGTTGTCAACTGTGCTATCAACCCCAGAAGTCGAAACTGAAGTCTCAGTCTCAACTTCTGTTTTCACTTCTGGAGCTGTAACCTTTTCCCTCTGGTCCAAGAATGCAGAGATTTCCTTGCTCCTACGGAAAGCTAACTCGAAAGCATTGGTTCCTCTGGACCATCCCTGCTTCAGGTTGGTGTTTAACGACGACAACTCATCGTCATCATCTTCTCCCCCCTTCATTGTCAATGTGACCTGGCCTCGTGCTACATTCAATACTTTCACCGTTACCTCTTGACCAACTTCCAGTGCGGAATGCCCGATAAGGGTAAACAGCGCCGCTGCTTCCTCTTCCCTTGGGAGGAATCCTTCTTCTCCATCAGGCAGTGTCACAAATGACCCTGTTCTTGTCGTATTTTTCACAGTGCCAGTCAGAGATTGTCCTCGTGTATACTTTGCCTCGTCTATCTTCTTGAAATCCTTTGTCTGCCTTGGTGAGCTTCTAGGCGCAGCTGCAGTTGGACTCCTCCCACCGCTTGGAGCCGTAGGTGCTTCCTTGACATAATCTCCACCTGTCCGCATTGTCAAGGAGATGCGCCTCGTTTCTTTATTTACTTCCACTAATTTCACTGACACCTCTTGCCCAACAGTGAAGAGGGTAGATATATCTTCAACAAAACCGTCACTTACTCGGGAGATATGGACAAGGCCTTCAGTGAATGCTCCAATGTCAACAAAGACTCCAAATGGCTTGATAGACCTGACTTTCCCGGTAAAGGATGCACCAGGAACAAGGTCACCATCCTTCAACGGCGGCATCTCGCTCTTACGTGGGTTGCGGCCTAACTTGGGAGGGGAGGAAGCCGGGCTCGTGCTAGCCACAGCCTGGCCGGTAGTTTCAGCAGCGGCAGGTGCGGCGTCGGAAGTTTCTCCTGCCGGAGATGACGAACCCTCCACCGTGACATCGGTCCCAACAGCTGCTGCTGACAAGGTCCTTAGCCTGCTGTTGGCAGAGGACCAGCTTCTTTTGTAGATGCTGATCAGGTGGAATGGTGTCTGTGGCTGCAGCAGCCCATGGCGCGAGGGCGATGTGACTCTTGAATACCTCTCTGAACCACGGAACCTTCTTATCTGTATTTCTCGGCTGGGCCTGAAACTGCCTATGTGGAACAGGCTGATGGTGCCAACAGAGCAATGGACCACCGGCGTCATGCTGGATTCAGGGGAGCTATATCAGAATCTTGAATCCTTCAGAACCCTGCACAAGGACAGAGACTCGTTTCAGCACCGCGCAAGAAGAGCAAGATAATCTGACGAACGAAGAGGAATACATGATAGAGATGCTGCGAAAGAGCATCATCAGTTGAGAAGTGCAAACGTGCATGCATAGGCAGCCTCCGGCCCAGCAAAATTTGGGGGGAGCAACTATTGCAGTGGATTTTAAACATGCTTCCTGTCCAGCATTCCAGTGCCTATGCACACAGCGAGTACTACCCTACAACTTATCGCTTTTACAGGGTGGGAAAGCGGGCTGGAGTGCTCCCAAACAAGACGGCCGTCGGCAGTCGGCGCAGGCATACCCACAAACACGTCCCGCGCAAGCGATAGCAAAGGAGATGCTTGAGAGTGCGGAGCAAGGGCGGGAGGGAGACGAGAGACATGGACGACGGCGCCGGCCGCATTAGTGTCACCGACGAGCTAGCTACGCGGGACAGGGGCGGGTGGGAACACGGGGTTACCTCGTCGGGGCGACGGCGAGCTCCCGCGGTGGCCGTCGTGAGGAGAGAGAGGGAGGCTGAGGAGGAGGCGGAGGGGTCGCTGGGGATATATAGCCTTATCTGGAAACGAAACGGGGAAGGAGCAGAGGTGATAGACTGATGGTAGCAGTGGATGGCCGGGATGGACGGGACGCGCAGTTTTGCTGTGCCGCTGGACCTGACCCGCTCCGCTCCGCTGCCCCGATGGGTTGCCTTTGAGTTCCGTCGGTCAGCCCAACTCCACCGCGCGACCCTATTCTATCCGGCTCCGTCCGTTTGGGGTAAAAAAACAAAAGAGGCGGCCCAGCGCACGGTCTCAAACGGACAAATGTTCGGATTCCGTCCGTTTTTTACCCATCCCGACCCAAACTTGCGTTCGGTTTGGGGTGAAACGGACGCGCGCGGACGACCGCGACGCACGCCCTTGTCCCCCCCGTGGCCCGCCTGTCGGGAACACTAGCAGTCCCTCCGCTCCAACGCTTCACCCTCTCTCCCTGCCCCGCCCCGCCGCCGGCGCCGCCCTATTCTCCGGCCGCCTCCTCACCGCGCAGCCCCCCCGCCGTCCATACCAAACCACGTCTCGACATGGCCGCCACCGCGCCCGCGCTTTCGCCGTAGTTTTGGTCGTCTATCGAGGGAGGTTTGGCCGTCGCCGTCCTTGCCGGTGGCGGAGGGGACACGACTGCCGGCGACGAACCACGGCGGCCGAGGCAGATTCCGACGAGAGCTCCAGAGCGGCCAGTAGCCGGCCGGCAACCACCCCTGTTGCGTCGAGGTGATCATCGCGGCCCAAGGTGAGAAGAGAAAGAGATTTGCCCAAATGCAAGAGAGTGTTAGAAAGGATGTGGAACGTGCTTTTGGTGTGCTTCAATCCCGGTGGGGTATCGTTCGAAACCATGCACTGTCATGGGATGAAAGGAAGCTTTGGGAGATGATGACTGCTTGTGTGATCATGCACAACATGATCGTCGAGGACGAGCGTGATGAGAGTATCTTCGACCAAGGATTTGATTATCAAGGTGAAAATATTGAGCCCCTGCACCAAGACCCGGCAACATTTGAACAGTTTGTCGAATTCCACCGTGAGATGCGTGATTGGCACACTCATTTAAATCTTCAAAATGACTTGGTTGAGCACGTCTGGGATCACATTGGCGACCGATAGATGTATTGGTCTAATTTATGTTCAGTCAAGACAATTTCGATTTGGTTGTAAAACTATTTTATTAAAGACAATTTCAATTGGGTTGTAAAACTATTTTAATTTTCAGACAAATATTTGGGTTGGAAACTAGTTTGATGCAAATTTGAGCATTTTTGCCCTCACGGACAGGATGGGGCAAATGGATGCGGCCGCGCGCTGGGTGCACGGCCACCGCATCCCGGGACAGGCCCGAACACGACCCCAAATCCATACCTAAACGGACAGAAACCGGACAAAACGGATGTCCGTTTGGAGTCACGCGGTGGAGTTGGCCTCAGTTGTGTGTGTCCCGTGTGCGTGTGCGCGCAAGTTTTTTCCAAGTCGTGCGTGTGCAGGTTCTACACCTTGTAAAAACCGTGGTTGTCTGATAGGATAGGGACAGCCAGTGCTGTTTTTGAGCGTTTTTCTCCACTGTCGCCGTTCGGTTCGTCGCCGTCGCTGTTTCCGCCGTCCCCGCAGCCACCACCCAACCGCAAAGCATCCGCCCAGCCATCACCGCAACGCCGCTCTGCCCGCATGCTGCGAATCGACCGTATTTCCGCCACTCCACCACCGGTGCCCGGTTCGTCCCCCCCGCCGTTGTCGCTGCCGCTCACAAGCCACCGCCCAACCTCCACACCCACCGCCGCCCCGTCCCACAGCTTTTGCCCCGCGGCTGCCGCCCCGATTAGAACGCCACGTTATGGTCGCCGCCGCTCAGCCGCCCAATTCTAATTTTTACATCTCCATTTGCATCATTTATTGAAGTTGCACTTCTACATCATCAATTTACATCATCTATTGTAGTTGTCTCTTTTTTAGAGATGTAAAAAACACTTTTTGAAGATGTAAATTTTTATATCTCCTGTTTTACCTCTCCAAATTTGCATCTTTTATTAGAGATGCTGTTTTACCTCTCCAAATTTGCATCTTTTATTAGAGATGCTCTAAGTATATAAATGTACAGGCAGCGCGGCCTCCGTAACACCACAATAACCAGGACAACAAACGTGGTGTCGTATGGTCTAAGCATTCTATAACCGAATCCATTCGCACAAATTCAACAGGGCTCGCAAAAAAATAAATCCACCTGCATCATAGATTCCCGGGGTGCACATATCTGTACTCAGCCGTATCCACCGACCACCCAACAGAAGAAAACACACGTTTCAGTGATGCACCTCCCCGTTCATATCAGTTTCATAATGCATGAAGATGTTTCTAAAAAAAATAATGCATGAAGATATGCAGCCCGACGGTTAAGAAAGACATCTCTGCATTTCTTCCATGCCAACACTCATGCTCCCATGTCAGCAAAACAACCCAGCTCAAGCAAAGACGGTGAAATTTTCATGCGGACACTCTTACATTAATAAAGTAGTTAAACAGGTTGCAACAATTCCTGCGTGCTGGAGCCCACTCGTCGCAGCAGCGTTCGAGAAAGACCACGCTACACGACCAGATGATCACACAGAGCATGGGCCGTCCCTTGTAGAAGAACCGATCTACCACTGCTCTTTAAGTTTCTACTTCAGGGCCACCAAAGAAGTGGCGCCATTTCTACTCTCCGTTCATGCACTGATTTATTCGTCGCTTGGATTCTCCGTCTTGGTACCTTCTATGTCCGCCATGTCATCTTCCGTCTTGGTACCTTCTATGCCCGCCATGACATCTTCCGTCTTGGTACCTTCTATGCCCGCCATGACATCTTCCGTCTTGGTACCTTCTATGCCCGCCATGACATCTTCCGTCTTGGTACCTTCTATGCCCGCCGTGTCATCTTCCATCTTGGTATCTTCTTTGCCCGCCGTGTCATCTTCCGTCTTGGTACCTTCTATGCCCGCCATGCCATCTTCTTCAGGGGCCTCCTGCTGCAATCGAGAATGGAGAAGGTCAGGTGAAATAATTACTAGACAATCATCTGAGCGCGTATGATTCCACCATACTGTCACTTAAATCTACTTGTTTTCCTGGTACTAGTGTTAGCATACCTACTTAGTACATGCACAATGATTTCAAAAAAGAATTAGTTGTGAGTCCTCTAAAAAGATCAAGCTACGTCAGGAGAAGATGTCATGCTAAATTTCAGGATTTGGATTTATAGTTCTCAACATTCTTGATTGTTCAGAAACATGGGCAGGTTCTGTAATTCAACAAGAGGTACAAAATCAATCATTGCCAGTCTGCCTTAGCTGCTGGCCATGTACTCTAATAGGTAAATACTCACATTCTTTTCCTCCTCAACCCCACTGCTTTCATCATTATTTTCTGGATTATCCTCCAACTGAAAAAAGAGGGGAGGGAGCACAGGTTAAGAAACTGTTTCACAAAGTTTGCATTTAACGAAGTGCTAATATAACCATTAATAAGACATAAGTGCTTATCATATGGTTGCAACTACCTATGTATCCATGAATTGTGCAAACTAATCATTATAAGAACACAAGTAATTAATACCGTATGGTTGCAATAAGTTATACATCCGAAAATATATTGACAGGATAGTTAATGTTTGAGCAGGTACACTAAACCAGAAATATACTTACTTTCAGGTCCCCCATGTTTGCTAATGCACCCTCACTTGTATTTTCGTCCTCACTTCCTTTGTTCCCATCAGTTTCGGCAGAATCTTCTAGCTGAAAGAAAATGAAGCAGACATTGAACAAAAATGGTAGACAGCAATGCTTTACACCATCATGAATGTAAAAAAGGTAATTACCCATCCGAAAATATATTGACAGGATAGTTAATGTTTGAGCAGGTATACTAAACCAGAAATATACTTACTTTCAGGTCCCCCATGTTTGCTAATGCACCCTCACTTGTATTTTCCTCCCCACTTCCTTTGTTCCCATCAGTTTCGGTAGAATCTTCTAGCTGAAAGAAAATGAAGCAGACATTGAGCATAAAAGGTAGACAGCAATGCTTTACACCATCATGAATGTAAAAAAGGTAATTACCCCCAAATTCTTCAAGCTAATAGTCACATCTTCCTGTTGCTTCTTAAGGGTGGTCCTCAGTTCTTGGAAATCCTGGTATGGGCAAAGGAGATAAAGCAGTTTGCCAACATACCAAAATAAGAGATTAATAGTTAAAACCTTTTTACAGAATATTGGGACATGTCCTTACTGATTTCAGCTGGTCTATCTCACTATTAAGTGCAGTTTTGATATCGGAGATTTCCTGCAAGACATAGAATGATAGTAAGTTGGTATTCAAATGAAGGAGTGCTGCAGCACAAGTGCTAGCCCAAAGTTAGTTTTCATTCATTCAAGGAAGGTTGTATTGTTTGGAAGTATGAACACATGTAGAAACTTTCTGACCAAAGGAACTATTATCCTTCATTATCCCCTTGCATGTTTTATTGAACCCAGACCCAAAAACAAAGCAAACTATCATCCAATCACTGAAATATGACAACAGTTCTGCAAATAATGTCTCGATACTCAATACAATAGTTCTGGGGATACAAGAAAGAATATATGTAATTCAGAAAAACAAATTCTTGATATAGAAGATATCATCAAGTGAAGTGCGCAGAAACTCACAGTTTTGTATTTCTGCACTTGGGTGTCTAAATTGCTTCTCCAGCTCTGCAAATCCTAAAAAAAGAAACAGGATAATTATATTAACAAAGCAGTTCTGATATTAACAATTCCAAGTGAAGCAATGAAACAATGTGCAATTGTAACAAAAAGTAAACACACCCATTATGCATTTAAGGGCTTTGCTTTGAAAATATAACCATATTCTATTATTTCATGTTTTAGGTATTACAAGCAAAAACCACAAAGATGTAATTTCTTTTCTATTTCTGGTGAGCCCATGCTCATTAAGGTGTGCCCTTCAAATGGTAAGATGAAACTTGTGCGCACAGATACCATGTTATTACACTACTATGGATCAAATGGGAACCATCTATCAAAGCAAAACATTCATTAAATAAATTAAGAAAGATGCATGAAAAGAAGAATAAAGATATCTACTTTACAATATTTCAGCATACCTCCTTAAGACCTCGAAGTCTTCCCAAAAGCTCTGACTGTGATTCATTTAATTCCTGTTATTCAAAAACATAGAAAGGTTCATTTCCTTCTTTCTCTCAGAATCTTGGAATACAAACATTGTTTATAAACATATCAGCACAAAAGGACAATGCTGAATCGAAGAGCTATGATAGATTCAATATAATCAGAAACAAGGGACTTGGGACAATTTATGGGTGAAATAACATAGCTTGGTAACCACTTACTGAACAATTATGAGATTGGTATACAGTACGCATCGACAAACTGACAAAGTGCTACATACCTATATATCAGAACTAGAATTGTTCATCCATGAATCCTAGAATAGGAAGGTCCAGGATTTAGCGCTCAACACAGAAGAAGGTTACCCCCACACATTGATTCAGATGAAAGTGGTTCTTGAACATTATTTTTATCACTTTTTTCATTGAAAGAGAAGATTGAACTCGTGATTTTCTGATCTTAATCACTGAACTCTAAACAAATCTTCTGAGTTGTAGAAGCATGGTTTGTAACGTTGACGATGAAGCCATTGTTTTAGAATCCCTAATGAGGTGGAGAGTATAGATGTTGTTCTCGAAGTGCTGGGCTTTGGTGGAATTCAGGAACCTAGTATGTAGGAATGCAAGTAAAATAACTAATTATGGTACGTCTGTAATGACTTCTCAAACATGACGCAAGTTGGTAATGCAGTCTTGTTCCTTAGGACTTGATGGTGCAAGCATTTACAACAATCATGGTTACGACCACCATACTGATCTGCTCGTAGCTGGTAATCCAACCAGTAACGCCTAGCTAACATGTGTTCTAGTTGCACTTGGTTTTTCTATCTCCCCGTATTCATGCTCACAAATGTCACACACAAAAAATGCTGCAATTCAGGAAACCTACCATTCATCGTAGCCTAAAAAAATGCTGCTAATATAAGAGAACTTCAGAGAGAAATACGAGGAAAGGGGATCCTCACCGAGATCTTCTCCGCCACCGGCAGCAGCTCCTCACTCCTCTGCAAAACGAGGCAAACGATCAGAAACCAGACCTCGGGTACTGAGATCGGAGGATGGGCTGGCCGGTGCTCACCGCCGGAGACGGGGAGCTCTCGGCCGTCGCCGCCTCCGCTGCCGCAGCCGCAACCGCAATCGCGGGCGTCGGGGATGCTTCGGAATCGGACATGAGGATCGGGGGAGGGAGCACGCTGGTGGTGGCTAGGGTTAGGGTTTCGCAGGGAGGGGGGGCGGCACTAACGTTGCGCGTGAGACAGAGAGATTTGAAACTCAAACCGAAATGGGAAGGACGGAAGGTGGTGGGTGGTCTGCTTATACGAGGAGAGGCCGCTGCGCTTGGTCTCTCACCGTCAGTTCTTTTTTCCTTTTCAATTTAAAACTCACGATTTGTACATATCAGAAATGAAAACGTTTCTGGCCGGTCGGCCGGCTAACGCTGGCGCCGGTCGCTCCCGGGCCATCTGATCAACAACGCACTGCTAGTTCCCGGGCCGTCTGATCGGAGACCACACGAGATTTGCTACCGCATCACTCGTTAGCCACCACGTAGTCAGCCCACGTGTCCCTTATCTCTCGTTCTTATCTCTGACGAAGCCTCTCAACCACTCGTTTTCTTATCTCCCGCACGTTGACTAATCTCTACTTCGCCAATCTCTCTCTTTTGAGCCGCCGTGCGTCGCTTGAAGCCTTGACCAACTGCCTTGTTGTTTGTCGGTCGGTGCGTGGTGTGCTGCAACCAACATGCCGCAGAACTACAACCACGATGTCGTCATGCTTCAACCAGCAGGCGGTCGTGTGACGAATGGGGAAGACGCACATCTGCAGAGGAGGACACCTAGCCCATTCAGCTTCGGCACTCGCCGATTGCAACTCCACTCTAGCCGCGGTTGCAGCTCTGCCACTAGCTGGTTCTAGCTTCACCCCAAAACAGATGCAGCTCTGCCACTCGCGGGTTCTAACTTTGCCCTTGCCGGATGCAGCTCTACTCCCTAGCGGCTGCAACTCCTCCACTGGCCGGTTTCAACTCCGACATCGGGCGCTGCTACGTCCTAGCAAGTTATGCTGCTATCGGTGCTGGAACCGGTGTCTGTTGGTGCTAGAACCAGTGCATAGGAAAGCTGGAACTAGTATCCATTTTTGCTACTACTATCTTGGTTTTCGGCCCCAATTTTCCTACAAGTGGCTTCAATTTTTCCTGGAACCAACAATCCTTTTTACTATCACTTTCTTTTGTTTTTGCTGGAACCAGCCCCAATTTTGCTTTCACCGGCTTCGGTTTTTGCTGGAACCAACATTTTTTTGCTACCATCGGCTTTGTCTGCGAGCGAGTCCGTTGTCGTCATTGGTGTTGCAACCGGGGGTGGGCAGCACCGGCGAGGGACAGTGTTGCGGTCGGCGCCGCGGAGCTACCATGGATGGCAACAGGGAGGCAAAAGAAAAAGTTGTTACGGTCAACAACCTTTTGTTGTGAGCGGCGGCGGTGAGCATCGACCGCAAGCGTCAGCAGCGAGGCAAATGGGCAAGGTTCGGTAGCTCGGGTCGTCAGCGGCCGAGGACGAGCATGGCGTTGGTCTCTTTCCCCTTTCTTTTTTCTCCTCTTCTTTTTTCTGCGGTGTTTTCTGTAAGGTTGACTAAGGAATCGTACAGTTTAAAAAACTATATCATGTTGTGGGCCAGTTGACCGGCGCCTATCAAAAAAAAATTCTGGCACGTGTGGTAAGCAGTGACGGGCTACTCTTTTTTGCAGTGATGTGCTACTCGTGAGCGGTTTTTTTTGCAGGGTTCAGGAGCGGCTTTTGTCTTAGGACATTTCCCGACCTGCAAATTTGCTGCTACATCTGTCCGCGGATAGGGGACTAGTCCGTGGACTCGGATGTGGGAGTCGGCCATCTAACACTGCCCGCATACATTTCGAACCAAGTTCCAACTAACCGGACGAAATTCATGCAAACACGGTGGATTTTTATATAAATAGGTGAAATTCATTACAACATTTTTCATTAAAAAAATTGTCGACCCTAAACCTATCCTACGGCGGTGCCCGACGTCCTCTTGCTTTGTTAATATAGCCAGGTCATATGATGTTTCTCCATCTCTATCTTGTTGTGATGAATTAAATTTTGACCTTTGAGGTTTCACTATTATCGTTGAATACTTTTTAGATTTGAGAACACTTAATATATGTCTTGCATGTGGATACGTGTGGTGACAATGGAGTATTCTATTGATTCACTTGATATATGTTTTGGTATTCAACTTGAGGATTATCCTGACATTGGGGTAATCTATGCATAGGGGTTGATGCACGTTGAAAGAACATGCGGTGCCCCCATGTTTGGTTTTGGTAATTGATGACAATCTCTATGGACTAATGGTTGCCTTGAGTTTTATTTGAAGAATTTGTCCATAGGCTTTTCTTGGAGTCCATTTGTTGGTTTCAAGGAGAGTTTGTGATGACCAAGGTGCCATTCAAGAAATTACCTAAAGATTGGTCATGTGAGAGGTTGATCAAGACTAAGTCAAAGAGTGAATCAAGTTGATCAACACACAAAGCGTAGAAGATGTACCGAGAGGGATCAAGCGATCCCATGGTATGGTAAGCATTGTCAATTATGCTTTGTGTACTGACCCATGATCTTCGTGAGAGTTCTTTGTGGGGTTAGGTTGTGGTGTGCAAGTTCAAGTGAAGCATCACGAAGAGATCAAATGCTTGAAGCTTTCCGTCCATTGTGGTGACAATGGACTTGTGAAGATGTGCGGAAGAGTGGCTCACCCATAGTGGAGTATGGGGGAGCAATCAACTAGTCTTCATCGAGCGAACGCAATCAAGAAAGGTGGTCCAACTTGAGGGAGTCAAGATCGTGCAAGGCAAAGGTTTGCCCTTGATAGGTTTTATATTTTACCGGTCTCATGGTGATAGTTTGGAGACCGGGTTATAGGATCGATAGACGTACTATCAAGGGGGGGCTCTCAAGTGAGTAGCTTGATCGTATCGTTCGTCGAGAGCTCAAACCTTTACATCCTTGCATCATCTTTCTTGATTCTTATTTGTATTTTCTTTTGAGGTTTTAGAGCTTGTGGTTATCTTCGTGAGAAGCTCTAGTACTTCGAAGATCGATTTCATATGCCTCTTCTATTGTGTTTTCGATATTGGAGGTTTTACCGGTCTTATTCGAGGAAGGGTTCTCACCATTTTCTCTTGGGACTTTTATAATTTGCTTCTTATTGATATTTCTTTCAATATTGTTTTAGCCCTTGTCACTAGCTTTCTAACAAACTTGGTTTCATCGAATTCGGAGTCCGTTTGCAAAAGTTGTGGCAGTTTTGGTGTTCTGAAAAGGCTGCAGCGCTACTACCGTGAATTGGAGCGGATGTAATTTTTTACTACCGCTCCAGAGCAGTACTACCGCGGCTCCTACAGTGGTAGTACCGCTCCGGACCAAAAAGTCGTCCCAAGTTCAGCGGAGGTAGGCACAGAAGTATTTTTTTAGTACCGCTCGCAAGCAGTAGTACTGCTACCATTTGCGGTAGTACCGTGAGGGCGAGCGGTAGTACCGTGAGGACGAGCGGTAGTACCGCTCTGGCGGTTCTACTGGCTTTTTGCCTCCTCGCTGTTGTTTTTCAAAGGGCTACTATCGCCCTAGCAGTAGTACCGCTCCTTGGAGCGGAAGTACCGCTCTATGCGGGCTGTGTGGATAACGGTTGGATTTTTCCCCACCTATAAAAGGGGGTCTTCTTTCCCATTGAACCTCATCCTTTGAGCTCGTGTTCTTCCCCAATTGTTGACCTTCTTCGAGCTTGCTAACTCTCAATCCCTCCATGGATTCTTACTAGTTTTTGAGGGAAAAGAGAGAGGAGATCTAGATCCACATTTCCACCAATCACTTTCTCCTCTATGTGAAGGGAACCCATTGGATCTAGATCTTGGAGTTCTTGGTGTTCTCCTTCTTGTTCTTCCTCTCATCTTCCTCCCTAGCATTAGTTGCTTCGGTGGGATTTGAGAGAGAAGGACTTGGGCACTCTGTGTGCCCTTGTCATTGCATTTGGTGCATCGGTTTGAGTTCTCCACGGTGATACGTGAAAGTTACAAGTTGAGAAGCTTATTACTCTTGGGTGCTTGGTACCCTTGAGATTGTTACTCTTGGGTGTTTGGACACCCTAGAGCTTGTTTTATTGGGGAATGTAGTAATTTCAAAAATTTCCTATGCACACGCAAGATCATGGTGATGCATAGCAACGAGAGGGGAGAGTGTGTCCACGTACCCTCGTAGACCGAAAGCGGAAGCGTTAGAACAACGCGGTAGATGTAGTCGTACGTCTTCACGGCCCGACCGATCAAGCACCGAAACTACGGCATCTCCGAGTTCTAGCACACGTTCAGCTCGATGACGTCCCTCAAACTTCGATCCAACCGAGTGTCGAGGGAGAGTTCCGTCAGCACGACGGCGTGGTGACGATCTTGATGTTCTACCATCGCAGGGCTTTGCCTAAGCACCGCTACAATATTATCGAGGAGGACTATGGTGGAGGGGGGCACCGCACACGGCTAAGAGATCAAGAGATAAATTGTTGTGTCTCCAATGGGCGCCCCCCTCCCCGTATATAAAGGAGTGGAAGAGGGGGAGGGCCGGCCCTCTCTATGGCGCGCCCTAGGAGGAGTCCTACTCCCACCGGGAGTAGGATTCCCCCCTTCCAAGTAGTAGGAGTAGGAGTCAAGGAAAGGGGAGAGAGAAGAGAAGGAAAGAGGGGGCACAACCCCTCCCCCTAGTCCAATTCGGACTAGGCCTTGGGGGGGCGCCCAACCTCTCCTCTCTCTCTCCCCTAAAGCCCAATAAGGCCCATATACTCCCTGGCGAATTCCCGTAACTCTCCGGTACTCCGAAAAATACCCGAATCACTCGGAACCTTTCCGATGTCCGAATATAGTCGTTCAATATATCGATCTTTACGTCTTGACCATTTCGAGACTCCTCATCATGTCCCCAATCTCATCCGGGACTCCGAACTACCTTCGGTACATCAAAACACATAAACTCATAATATAACCGTCATCGAACTTTAAGCGTGCGGACCCTACGAGTTCGAGAACAATGTAGACATGACCGAGACACGTCTCCGGTCAATAACCAATAGCGGAACCTGGATGCTCATATTGGCTCCTATGTATTC